TGGGCAAGGGTGAAAAATAAGAACCAAGAGAGATTATGTAAAGGTGCAAATTTCCAATGATGAATGTCATTATATTGTATACCTTAAATGTACCAATATAATTAATAACAAAAAAAGAATAAACTCTGTCCATGTGTATCTAAGTAGACAGGTCTCAGAAGCAGAATGCTGAATGAAAAGAAGATAAGAAATAAGCAAAATGTATTATAAGATACCATTTAAGTATTTTTCCAGTGCACAAAGCAAAGTTATGTATTAATCATAACTAAATATGTCTGTGTATAAAAGTATAAAAAGATGGGTTAGGAAGTGAGCAGAGGTCTTTAATTAGCAGCTCCCCATGGGGGCAGGGTAGAATCTGAGACTTGGACTGGAGCGATTAAGGCTTCCTGTAGTTTTGTCCGTAGTACTTCAATGCCTTTCAGCAAAGGGAGCCGATGTAACTGTGCTAACTGTTGGTAATTCCTGTGGGACTGCAGGTGGCTGTGGATGACCCACCTTTTTTTTTTTCTTTCCGGTGCTGGGGATCAAACTCAGGACCTTGCGCTTGTGAGGCAGGCGCAGTGCCACTGAGCTAAATCCCCAGCCCTCTCCCATCTTATTTTTTTACTGGGAAGGAAAAGGGAAGAGGTCCAGAATACTTGTTTGCCCAGGCAAGATGGGTCATATTATGATGCTATTAGAGGGTTAATGATAGTCACCGAAAGTGGGAAGTAGGGTTATAGGAAAGCACCTAAAAAGAAAATGAAAATACTGTAGAGTATCCTATCATGTCTCACTGAAATGGTGCTCTAACATCATGAAAGCATTTTCATCTCACTTTATTTCAGTCTACTGGAAGGAGCTATTGAGGCCTCAAGGCAAGTGTAAAGGTTAGAAGAGAAACTGCCCAGGCTAAATTCTGCCTCTTGCTGCCCAGAGAAGCTTCAGCAAGGTTTCAAAATACAGCTGGGCATGGTGGTCCAGACCTGTAATCCCAGCACTTGAGAGGTTGAGACAAGGGCATCACCATGGGTTCAAGGACAGTCTGAACGACACAGTGAGAGCCTGTCTAAAAAAAGGAAAGGAAGGGAAAATCACAGTTTCAGCATCTCATCTATAAAATGGGGCTAGTGACCCCAGTGTTAGAATCGAATGAGAGATTTGTACGGCACCCTTCTCTAGATCAGTGGTGGCAAGCCCATGACACACATGTTATTTGTTTTTCTTTTAAGACAAAAGATGTTAATGTAGGAGTTGTTTTTTCTAAACTGAAACCTCAGTATTCAGGTTTAATTGCAGCGTTGGCACTTTGAGATAAATAAGTGAGTTTGGGGTTGCAGTTTGGGCACTCATCTCTGAAAAGTTTGCCGTCGCTGCTCTAGATGTTGTGTACATGATTTCTCTCATCCTGATATTTTGAGGTAAGAGAACTGATAACCGTTTATTTTCATTTTATAGAGAGAAAGTAGATATACCTAGTATAGATAGCTGTGTAGGTATATAGTAGTATACCTAATAGAGATAGCTGTGTAATCAGAATGTTTATCTGATTGAAGATTGGCTAATATTTTAGAGATTTTTCTCCTGCAGTATTAGTTATAATTGGTTAGTGTATGCTAAGTGTTGAGAGCTTTGAAGAGCACATGGTAAGTGCTCCATAGGGCTGGGAGCATCACTCAGTGATAATGTTTGCCTAACATCCACAAGGCCCTGGGTTCCATTCCCGGCAACACAAAAAAACAGTTAAATAAATAAGTGCTCCATAATGTTAGATTTTTCACCCTCGCTCCTCATACCCCTTATGAGGTGGAAATGACTATCACTCTTGTTTTATAGAGGTTGAGACTAAGGCTTAGAGAGATAGTGATATAATTTGTTCTCCCAAAAAACAAGTGCATCCAATGCTATAACATTTTATAGATTTTGGAATATAAAGGTTGCATTGCATTTTTGTTCTTAAGTTTAAAAATAACATGTACTATAGCTAAACTTACTAGATTAATGGCCAAAAGCCAGTATAGAAATGGATTTTCCACTGTTTAAAAGGGCCAAAATTTCTAGGGGAAAACTTTCTGTAGCTAAACCTAAATAACAAAGAATTGAACTATACATGTTGAACTTTTCAAGCCTAAAACTTTTCTCTGAAGCTGGTTTTAGTACTTAAACTGCTTTTCAGCACAATCATTTGGATAGTGATTTGTATTTGGTATTCATTGCTCTTGGTGTTTTTAAATGTTAAAGTTAATATATAGACATTTCAAGAACTATATCAAGAAATCAGATTTCTTCCCCTTAATTTGATAAGGAGTATGCTGAAGAAAGAACAGCTCTAGGCTTCCTTATGTGACTGCTTGTGTGCTATAGGGCAGAGAGAGCTTGGAATTGTTTTCATTTTATTTTATTTTATTTTTTGGTACCGGGGATCAAACTTGGGTCCTTGCGCTTGCGCAACAGCCGGCGAAACCACTGAGCTAAATCCCTGGCCCTCTCCTTTTATTTTTATCATCCAGACACAGCCTCATAACATTACAATAATTTTACACAAGATATTATTAAGATCTGACTTTTAATTAGAAAGTGACGATTTGCTTATGAAATTACTAGGTTTGAAAAATTATTGAGCTCTTCTAGATTGCCAATGGGAAGGTAAAATGATACAGCCATTCTGGAAATAAGTCTGCAAATTTCTTCTCAAGTTAAACATACGTACTCTATGACGTAGCAGTGGAGCTCCTGGGTATTTATCCTAGAGATATGAAAGCTTATGTTCATACAAAAACCTGCACATGATTGTTCCTATCAGCCTAGCTTGGGATAGTCAAAAACTCAGCACAACCCAAATGTTCTTCGTTGTGTGATGGATAAGCACACTGTGACACTCTCGTACTATAAAATACTGCTGACAAGAAACAAAAGGAATAAACTATTAAAGCACCCAACGATTTGGATCCATCTTTAAGACCATTGTGCTGAGTGAAAAAGCTCCTCTTCACAGGTCAGATGCTGAGTCGGGCATGGCGATGCACACCTGCAGTCCTAGCAGTCGGGGGGGCGGTGAGAGGAGGATTGCAAGTTCCAGCCCAGCCTGGACAACTTATTGAGACCTTGTCTTAAGATAAAAAGGGGTAGGGATGTAGCTCAGTGCAAAGGCCCTGGGTTCAATCTCCACTACTGCCAAGAAAAAAAAAGGTCAGGTATGGCATGATTGAATTTATATAGCATTCTGACAACAACAGAATTAGATGGAACTTACTAGTTGCTGAAGTTGAGAAGGGGGTGACTAGGAAGAGGGCATAGAAGGGAGATCTTTGTGTTAAGTCCTTGTATTATAAGTGAGGTGACAGCTACCCAAATCCACGCATGTGATGAAATCTCATAGATACAGTGAATCCCCGCCAATGAATGATATAAGAACTGGTAAAGTTCCAATAAGATCTGTGGTTTACTAAGTATTGTGCCATGTCCATTTCCTGGTTTGAAAATGTGCAGCAATTGTAGAAGAGACTATTAGAGATGCTGGGGGAAGCTTGCCTGGGAATTCTGTGATTTACACGACTACTTATGAGTCTTAAAATAACCAGAGGAACTAAGAAGACAGAAATAGGAGCTGTGGCTGTAGGTGTCCAGTGTTCGGGTACTGACTGGTACTTCGCCATCTTGCAGAGGGTGGGCGACAGGGTTAGCTTGCTTTGTAGTGCACAAGCCCAGGACAGCCATCTGCTGTGGTAATACAGGATGTGCGGACTTCAGTTAGGGCAATTCACCTCATGTGCTTTTTCCTCTTCCTTTTGAGAACACATTAAAATGATGGCAAAAGAATTTTTAAAAAAACAACAGTAATAACAAAACTCCTGTAAATCTGTAGTGCAGAGACCTGAAAAGGAAACCGTTAACAAAAGGCCTAAAGAAATTTTGAGTACTAGAAAGTGGACAGAGGAGCAGTGGCTGGCTTACAAGAACCTGAAGAGCCCACAGAGGAGTGCTGGGGAGATCTTTCTCATTGTCTCATACACACACACACACACACACACACATGGGCGCGCGTACGCACAGACACAAGGCTGGAATAGGACTCTGGTTTGCAAAGTGGTTGGATCCCCAGGCTCCGTGTCCCACCTCAGCCACTACCAGCAGCAAGCAGCTCCCTCTGCCTGGCAGGCTACACTTGAAGATCACCAGGAGTTTGTGGAAGCCGTTTAATATGAAAGATGAATAGTAACCAATGAGGAAAAATAATCAGATAACATGGGGATCTGGAACAGAATAAAATACCAACAATTTATATTCAGATATGACAAGATACTGCATTCATAATCCAGGAATATGAGGACTTTTTTTGGTGGTGGTTTTCTGGCACTGAGAGTCAAACCCAGGGCCTTATGCAAGCTAGGCAAGCACTCTACCACTGAGCTACACCCAAGTCCTTTCTTTGAAACAGGATCTTGCTGAGTTGCCTAGATGGGGTTAAACTTGGCAATCCTTCTCCCTCAGCTTCTTGAGTAATTACCATGCCTCGCTAGGAGGATACTTTTAAAAAGGAGCACTCAAGAAACTTTAAAACACTCTTAGAAATTAAAAATACATCAAAAGCTTAAATAGAATTGGAATGTATAGAGGTATACATAAGCAGAGAAAAGATAAAATAGAGAATAAATCTGATGTGTAAAATCCTCAGCAGAGTTCCAGAAAGAATGAAGAACAGAAAGGAAACAGGAACATTTTCCAGGCTGAAAGACCTGATTTTCCACATGGCTAGGGTCCACCAAGTGTACAGTGAAGTAGATGGAAGAAACACCCACACTTAGACAGATGAGTATCCAGTTTTACAAAACAAGAATAAAGAGATGGCTTCCAGGAAATAACCTTTTAAAAAAGGGAGGGCCGGGGATGTAACTCAGTGGTTGCACTGCCTGCCTTGCAAGCGCAAGGTCACAAGTTCGATCCCTGGTACCACAAAAAATAAAAAAGGGAAAGCAGGGCCAGGGATTTAGGCCAGTGGCACCATGCCTGCCTTGCAAGCAGAAGATCCTGAGTTCGATCCCTGGCTGGCGGGGAGGGGGTCACATACAAATAAAAGAATAGCTGACTTCTCAGCAGCAAAATTGGATGTTAGAAACACCAGAGCAATATCTTAAAAATTCTAAGAAAATATTTCAATTTCTCACACTCTACCCAGCAAAATATCAAGTAGATGTCAAGGTAAAGGCAATTTCAAACATGGGGACGTAGGTTTCTCTTTCATGCATCATTTCTTAGGTCATTTTGGGGAAATGATCTGCAGCAGAAAGGAAGGAAGAGCTTTGAAGATGCGGATCCAGCTAATGAGAGCTGTTCACAGTCAACAGAGGGACATGCAAGGACGACAGTGTGACAGACCGAGGGACAGTCAAGCAGACTGAGCAAGAGGACAGGGAGCCCTTGTAGGAGGTTCTGGGGATAAAAAGTGGAATAGATTAGCTGACAGCTTTGTATATTTGAGAAATAATATTGATAAGCCTCTGCTAGATCTGACGGGACACATGGAAGAATTTAAGATAGATGCATAGAAAACAGCACAGGGAGGGGGAATGAGACAATTATTAATCCCAGGAGAAACAAAGACGCTTTACCAAAACAGAAAAGTTACGTTTAGTATATTCCTTACACTGTAGTGACCAGTATTTAGAGTCATAATAAACACTATTTACCAGAAAAATGACACTTAGGGCCGGGGATTTAGCTCAGTGGTTCTCCCACCTGCCTTGCAAGTGGAAGGACCTGAGTTCGATCCCTGGTACCAAAAAAAAAAGAAAAAGAAAAATGCCAATTAATTACTGTATATGAGAAAGGTCGAGGGGAGGGCAAGTGAGGTGTGGTATAGAGAGCTAGGTCCTCAGGTACTGTAGTAGACACCAGTAGTTTCTGTCCCCAGTTGAGTAATCAAGACTATTCAGAAGCATAAATGCAATAACAGCTTAATTACAAACATTCTTGGGAATAGGAACAGGGTTGGGAGAGGGATACATGGGTCATTTTTCACTGGGAACCTTCATCATTGTTTGATAAACAAGGCATCATGTGCTCTGCCAGTCCTAAGGGAGAACCTTTTTCTTCTGAAGGGTGCATGTATAAAGCATCTGCTCCTTTGGGTGTTAGGTACTTTCTCATTCTTACCTCCTGATCATTACAGACAGTGCACACTTGGGGAGTCGAGGCAGCAAGCCTTGCGTTTGGAATGATTAAGGCTGTTGGCAGTGATTAAGGCTATGTTCATAGATGAGACAGATACCCACAGTCACTGTGTTCTCAGTCATGAAGCCAGCACCATGGGAATGATTCATTTTCTGAACTTCAGACCTAGGCAGAGCGAAAGCAAATCTCTTAAAAGTTTCTATTCACTTAGCAGCCAAAACATTACCCTAATTATACATTAAGGTGAAATAGTTAGGTCACAGTTAGTCTACTATTTATTAATTTGTTTGTTTTCTGTGTTTGTTTGTCAGAATGTTATGGAACAGTTCAATCCTGGGCTACGAAATTTAATAAACCTAGGAAAAAATTATGAAAAAGCTGTTAATGGTAAGTCTTCTGTTTTTCTCAATTAATATACAGCACACATAAAAGTCACTCAGTAAATATTTTACTTATTTTAAGTGCTTAGCAAGCTGGGTGTGGTGGGGCATGCCTGTGATCCCAGTAGTTGGTAGGCTGAGGCAGGAGGATTGCTGCTCATTCAAGGCCAGCCTGGACTACATAGCCTGCCTCAAAAAAAGTGCTTAACATTGAATTTTAAAAATTTCTTTAGATGGTAGAAGTTATCTGTAATTTAATCGACAGAAGTATGCAGTGATAGTACATAATAATATTATTTGAAATGAGTGAACTGAATGGCAGTAAGGTTACTATTAGTGATGTATGTTAGCTATCAAATCATGCTTTTTGATATGGCTTTTTATTTCACTGCTAAAAACACATTTTCTGCTTTTTACACCAAATTCTTTGTGAACTAATAACATGTGAAAATGTGTACTTATAACATTTGTATGTTAGTGTCTGGTGCACAGGTATTGTTTTCCTTTTTTTATATAGAAGAATTTCTTGCTTTTAGACATATCGCTTTTGAAAGTAACATGGGAAGTAGTATTTTTATCCTGAATGGAAAAACATCTAAATTAAAGATGGGACTTAGATTTTTATTTCAAAATATAGTAAGTGCTTCATGTAAAATGAATTTGAGTATTGGGATGTGCCTGTCTTTGGGAGCCAGAGTTGTTCTTTGGTTTGAAGAGGTTCTCTATGAGGAAGATAATATGCAGCCATATTATTTCCTTAAAAAGGTGAGTGCTATTATAACATATCAGTTATCACCTTAAAATGCTAACAATCACCAAATTCTAACCTGTTTGTCAAGATGATTCTCTCTGTATAGCAAGTGTTACCTCCCAAAATACTCCGGCTCTAGGTTCACCCTCCACCCTGATCCACTAAGACCACCAAGTAACATCAGTAGAACATTTAGTTTCCATCCACTTTAGATCTGAAGAAGGCTTCAGATCAATTTCATATATTTTACTTATTGTTCTCTTCTTTCCCTCTCCCATCACACCCCACCTTTGCTCGCTTCCTGTTGATAGTTTGAAACAACCCTTGGCCTTCCATTCTTCAGCACAGGTATGGCCCAGGACAGGGCAGTATGCTGGCTGGGCTCTGGGTGACAAGGAGCCCTCCTGTAGTCACCAGGAAAAGTGAACTGCCTATTTACTTTCTTCTGCCTCACCGTGCTTTTTTGGCTGAGGCTTTGGGTATCAGGAAAACAGCAGGTCTGGGATGGTCCTTCCTCCCAACAGGGTCAGTGCCTTCTCCAGAGAGCAGTGGCCTGGCATTGCTGACTCTCCCCTGATGATTGCTAGATCCCAAGGCCACAAAATCATTGCTGTAGATGAACCTGTAGATGAAGGAAATCACTATGACTTGCAGTGGGCTTTTTGTTTATTTGCTTGTTTTGTCTTTGTTGCTTTCTTTATAGCATGAGCTGCCTCTCTGAGACAGAGTTACAGGGTGAATCAGTGACCTACCTGCAGCTTACCTTTCTGCTAGAAAGGCTTCTCCCAAAAGGGCTCTTACCACTTTAACACCTCCTGAGATTGTTCTGCCCTCTCATAAGTATTCCTAGAATTTCTGCCCACCATCTGATTGTGGTTTTGCTTAAACCACTGAGAAACTGAAATACATTTATAAGAATTTGAAGTACAGTTCAGGCTGCCACCCAGATTCACAGTCAACAGTTAGTTACATTAGAATTCGGGATAACATGGCTGAAAGTGTTGTTTTGACCAGTGCACAGGAATCTGAGCAGTAGGGATTGGTGTGGACTGGAGCAGGCAGGAAGCCTTGCAGGAGCTGAGCTAGCCAACAGACGTTGGTATTCAGCCGGCAGAAACTACTTCTGATGGAAAAGACAGCACTCCAGCTGGGACCCACACTGGCCTGGTGAAATGCTGAAAGGGAGCAGGTGGGATTAGGCCAGCAGACATGAGGACTTGAATGTCACATCTGTCATCCATTGCTGCACAACAAACTGCCCTCAAATTTTGTGACTTAAGATCACAGTTTATTATCTCTCTTATAAAGGGCAGTTCTCTGACCCCCGGGGCTCACTTCTGCTGCTTCAGTCAGCTGGACTCAGGGCTGGGGCTGAGGCACGCTCTCACCCCTTCAGGGAGGCCACACTACATCTCACACTGTGGTAGTGGCATCCCGAGAGTCCAAGCCCCAATACCTGGCATTTACCAAGCCCCGGAGGGAGTTATGCTTGCTGATAGCACACTAGCCAAAGCAAGTCACATGGCCAAACCACCTGTAAGTATGGAAGGGAACTCACAAGCTGAGAATTCTGGGAGGAATGAGTCATTGAAGATCATTATGTAATGTGAAAAATCTTCTGTGGGCTCCAGGGAGCCGAGGCTTGTGCTATGGGCAGTGGAGGCCGTTGAAGGCTTTTGAGCAGAACAGCCGATGAAACTATAGTCTAAGGAAAAATTATCTGGCAGGGGTATGTAGACTAATCTAGATAAATACCACTGAAATTGAATTAATGTGCTTCATTCTTTATAATAATAAGTAGGGGAAACTATCTTAATATGTTCACAAAGGAGGGCAAAATTGTGAAGATAATAAGTTTGAATTAGTTCTGGATAAGTTATATAATTTTTAAGTTAATTCAGGTTTATCATAAAAGCAAAGATACTTTACAAGACCGAGAAGGTTACATGGCTTTAACGTAAGTCAGCAGTTAATACTTTCAATTCAATGTGTGGATCCAAACCAGAATTTTTGTTTAAATATAGTGTAACTCTGCATGCCATTCTCCACTTTTTAGTTTATCAGTGCTTTACAATTTAAAATCTTCATTCCAAAACACATATATTAACATGACAGCTTATTGGCTACACACCTTGTTTTGAGGCGGAGTCATTTTTTCTTCAGTTCCTGCTGAGACCAGAGAGTCAAAAAGCACTATACTTTATGGGCCAGGGATTTAGCTCAGTGGTTCCTCTGCCTGCCTCACAAGTGGAAGGTCCCGAGTTCAATCCCTGATACCAAAAAAACCCAAAAAAGCACTATACTTTAAAACTGAGGAAGTAAAGTGCCTTAGTAGGAGTTGTACATGCTGCTGCTGACTCACCCCTGACCTTGGGGATGTCCCAGAATATCTCCACTCCACCCCCTTAGCAGGGGCTGATAACCGTTGTCTCAACATTATCAGGTAGATTAAGTAATGACCTGAAAAGGTCATTTTTCTATACAAAAGCTAATTGTGACTGTTCCTTTTATAATTGCACTTTAAGGGGATCCATAGTTTTATAAAATAATATAGTAAAGCATTAAATTTCCTAAGGTTATCTTGACATATAGTAAAAGCCATAACTTAGTTCTTAAGACTCTATAATAAATGCTGAAATAGATAAATTTGTCATGAGCGTGCTATTATTTTGGCCTACAATTCCACCCCTGGACCTGTATGTGAATTAATTCTGTGCCGCTTTCATACCTTGCTTTTATGTTTCCTTTAAAATCTACCTTTTAAGAATATATTCATTAAAATTGAGGAAAAGTACTGTAGTAGAGCAGCCTATAGTTGTCCTGCCAGGAAAAGAGATAGGACAAGAGACTGAGCGATGTTTGGGGGAAAGCAACCCCGAGTGTCCCTCCTTTCCTGGGTGATGACTGTGTGTCACTTCTCTTGTCTAGCTATGATCATGGCAGGAAAAGCCTACTACGATGGAGTGGCCAAGGTCGGTGAGATGGCCTCGGGGTCCCCCGTGTCAACTGAGCTGGGTGAGTCAGCCGTCTGTTACATAAGCTTCCCTTGCCATCCTGGACACCCTGGACAGGGTATGAGGCGGCCCCGGTGGAGAATGGAAAGGAGAGCTGGCCAGGCACGCCGTAGTCCACACTCACCCTTGTCTGCGGAGCTGCAGGCCTGACTGGGCGTTGGGCCTAGCCTGCAACCTGAGGGCCAAGTCAGGGGCTTCCCAGCTCTTCTAGTAACTTGGGCTCCTGCCTCCGGCCCTGGGGCTCTCACCTGTGGCCTCTGACCCCCCTGCTTAGCAAGCCCGAGGAGCTCTGACCTACATCCTGAACCCGAGGAGGTGGGTGAGCCATGCCTCTGGCCAGGCCGGTGCTTCCTGTGACTCAGCTCACAGAAAACCCAGCTCCTTACATTGCACTCTCGGCTCTCACCACTTCCACAGCCGCTCTCAGTTGTGATTTTTCCGGTTTTGCTGGTGTGAATTGCTCTCCTGTGCAGGCAGAGGGTGGCCGCACCCTGGGCAGCAGGCAGGGCCGAGGGAGGCTGGGTTTCTATTTACAGAGCCATTTCACTGTTACTGTCTCCTGCAGGGGAAGGTCTAGCTTTTAAATAGCCCCACACATGACCCTCATTTTTAAAACTTGTTGAATATTTTACTGTACATATTGAAAATATTTGTGATAATTCGAAAAGTTCAGAAAACCAGGGGAGAAGAATAGTAAAGAGTGTGTGCATTTGTGTGTATGTGTGCGCGTGTGCGTTTGTGTCTGTGTGTGTGTGTGTGTGTGTTTTCTGAAGAACAAGCTTATCTCCAGTTAAAAAGTGGGAAGGGCAAGTTGAGGAGCAGGGTACCACCACAAAGTTGGGTTATAATGCGCACCTTTGGTGTCATGTTGTCTTAAGACTCATACTGACCTGTCGGAGACTGCGGCCCAGTCAGAGGCTCCATAACCAGCAGGGCAGGGAACTGGACTCATCCTCATTCCCCACAGCGTTATGCTCGAGAGTTCATGAAGCTAGTCAGAAGGTAGACTGTGCTCCTGAAATGATGATGTATGATGAATAAGCCGATACTTCTGCATTTAATACAGTCGCTTACGTGCAGAAGTTTTGAAATCCAGACTTGGTGCTGCAGGGGTCATGACTTCCGTGTGTGCTGCCGACAGCCGACCTATGGAAAGTCTATTCTAAGCATGATCAGTTTAACAACTGCAGCCAGCCATGTGTAGACCCAGACAGATAGCAAACCGTAGGACATTTTGGAGAGTAGCTGAGATGATTATAGGGTTCCAGAAATAGAACTAAATTAACAAGAAACATCCTATTTGTGTCAGGCATCAGAAAAACATAATATAACCTTTACATTAAAATATATGGTGCTGTGACTCACTGCTATTCAGTTTGCCTTTTTAATGTTTTATGGGTCTTGCCACTGTTTAAATAAGACTTCTGTTCCACACCTTGCTTTATTCAGCTGAGTTCATAACGTTGAATCAACTATTTCCACAGCAACAATGTTGGTACAAACACAAACTTGAAGCTCCAGTTTCCATAAGGAAACTATGTTGAGGTGGTGAAGTTTCTTTGGTGTAAACATATTCAGAGGGGATAGAAATGACTTTTGCTTTTAGTTGTTTTTTTTTTTTTGCAAGATCTCATTTTGCTTATGTTTACTATCTCACAGTTGCTAGTTTTCTTTTACAGCAATTCCATGATAAAATGCTACCTCAGTAAGAGTTGCTTTTGGAGCCCTAATGTTAATCTCTTTTGACTTGCATAGGTTTCATTTTGTTGCTATTAAAGTTTAGACTCTATATGCAAGAGTAGTAAACAATTAATTTTTTTAAAAGCCAGGTGTGGTGGCTCACGCCTTATCCCAGCACTCTAGGAGTTTGAGACAGGAGGATCCCAAATTCTAGGCCAGCCCAGGCAATTTAGTGAGACCCTGTCTTAAAACAAAAAAAATAAGAAAAAGAGCTGGGATATAGTTCAGTGTGAAAGCCCTGGGTTCAATTCCCAGTACTGCCAAAAAAAACAAAAACAAAAAAAGATCAAAGTAGATTGTATTTTTCTTGTTTTTAAAGATTTTCTTGTACAGTTATTGCCTTTTTGGTACTGGTACTCATAACTCTTATGAAATTTATGTTATAAATTTTGTATAAGCTTGGAGAGATATTACATATGTGAAGATCTTGAATTATTTCAAATTTTTCCCTTAATATATCTTTTGGATTCAACTCTATTAGTAAAAATAGAGCTCCAGCAGTACTACTGCTGATTTCCAGCTGTGGATATTTACTTTGTTTGTGTTTGGTTTTGGAGACAAGGTTTCACTAGACAGTTTTCGCTGTCCTTAAAGTGGATATGGAGCCCAGGTCCCCCTCACCCTTCTGACTGCTGGGATCACAGGCGCGAGCCACCACCCCGGCTGATTCAGACATTCCCTTCTGGAATCAGCTCACCTATTGCTGTCTGAATAATTAGGATGCTTTTCCCCAAGAGTTACAAAATACCCAACTAATGGTGACTTAAGCAATAAACACGCTTATTATAAGCCAAGAGTAGAAGTTATCAGTTAATCGTCACCAAGAGCCAGGTTCAGATCTCTTCTCATCTTCACGCCCTTCCTCTTGTGGTACCAAGATGGCTGCCATTCTGGCCATCACACCTCTCTTCCCTTGTCTCCAAAGACAGAAAGGAGAATCTCTTCTCAAAGCCCCAGCATAGAGCCCCTCATGTCCTGTACCCCAATTTATCTACTTTTTTTGGTACCAGGGATCGAACTCGGGACCTTGCACTTGCTAGGCAGGCGGCGGAACCACTGAGCTACATCCCCGGCCCCAATTTAAATTATCTGCCACCATGAGGAGTTGCCAGAAAGGCTTTCCTGGTATGGTTAGCTGAGGGTTACAGAGAGGAGGGGACATGGTCTTAGGAAATGGCACGAGGATGGCCCCACATCAGGCATCTCTGGCATTAGGGTCTGGTTTCAGCAGCCTTTGATGAAGGGGAAGGCATTGTGCAAATGTGGCCGCTCCGGCTGTTCACTGGGAGTTCCCGTTCCTTCTGTTTGCACTTGTCTGACTGGAATGTCTCTTGTGTGGCTGGTGTGTGATCCTCCGACAGTGTCTCTCTTGTTTCTCCTGCGTCCTCTGACTTCTCTCCTAGAAGACCACAGGCATCTTTCCCAGTCTATTCCTTTTTGGAAGTGCAAACCCAAACACAGAGGAAGAAGTTGGGCACTGGAATAGTTTTGGAGTTTTCTACCCATTTGTGTCTTTTCCAAGCCTTAGAGTATCTTGTGATCTTGATTCTCCTGTCTGCCTCTCACCTTCCGTTTCTCCACTGTTGTTTTCTCTGCCAGTTTCCACAGCGGCTGGTCAGCGGCTGCTTTCCCTTGTGCTCCCCCCAGTCTTGAGATTGAAAATTAGGGGAACGGAGAAAAACCATTTATTGTTATGTATCCTTCCAGTGTTTTCTTCCGGCGAGGGTGTTGTCATGTAGTGTGCCTGCAGCTGTCTGTGTGACTCTTTCCCGGGAGCCGCCTAAGACTGACTGCGTTCACACAGTGAGAGTAGTAACAGCACACACTGAGCACTTGCTCTGTGCAAGGCCCAAGCCAGTACTGTGTGTGTGTGTGGTGTCAGCATTCAGTTCTCACAAGAGCCTTGTGCGTTGGGTGTAGGTTCCTGGGCCATCTCTCTTACAGACAAGGCCCAGAGGGGAGATGCGTTGCCCCAGAACACTCATGCTAGTCAGTGGTCTTATCTCAAGTCTCAGCTCTTCACTTCGCTGAGGCAAGGGGAAGAGGAAGGAGCCAGCCAAGAAAGGGATCACTGAAGAGGAAGACCATGGGATCCCCACAATGGAGTCTTTTCAAGAAGATGAAGGAAGAGTTATTAGTAGTGACAGTGGAGCTGGCTAATGTAGTATTAGCAGTAACCAGTCCTTTTGGAAACAGTTTTACTAGGGTCCTGACCTTAAATGCCAGGTGTCAAGAGGTTAGAAATAATGGAATTCCAGAGAAGTAACACACATGCACAAATAAATGCACACCCATGCACGCGCACACACACACACAGAGGCATGTGCTATTCCTCTGTGCTACTCTTAGAAGTATTGCTTAGCAGCTGGGTGTGGTGACACACCCCTGTAATCCCAGCTCTCTGGGAGGCTGAGCAGAAGGATCACAAGTTGGAGCCCAGCATGGGCAACTTAGCAAGACCCTGTCTCAAAAGAAAAATTCAAAAAGGGCTAGGGTTGTAACTCAGTGCAAAGGCACAGGACTCAATCCCTAGAACTGCTTTAAATTTAAAACTAATCATTTTTAAAAAGCAAACTGCCTGTCCACCACACACACAAAAAAATGTTGCTTAGCTTTTGTACTACAGTGCTTCCATCCAGAAACTCAGGTCTTAAGGGGCCACTCTGTTACCATGTGCCAGGTACTATACTTTATCCATTACCTCGTTTCATCCTCATAGCCACTGGGTGAGTTTTCCCGGGTGGTCTGGAGGGTCCAGGGGATTGTTACAGGTCCTGAGAGTAAGCTGGGTGATCACCTCCTCCTACAGAGTCAGAGGTGACCTCACTGGATGACCACACTGGCCACTCATCCCCAAGATGTGCTTTGCAGCCAAGCAAAACTGGGACAGGGGTTGTGGAAGCCGCTCCCCCAGGGCGGTCAGGACTTCTTGCTGCCTGGGTGCAGAGTGCACTGTGCCCTCCTGGAGCCCAGGAAGGATCCAGGGCAGCAAGGCCAGGGCACACTTTACTTACCTCAAAACTACCACGTAGTAGGCTGCCTGTCACTGAGAGATGTTCCGTAAGGGTCCCCTTGTTCCATCGCTGCTGTCAAACTTGTGCTGCAACTCTGACGAACGCTTCACCTTTATGATGGACATTCTTCTGTCAAGTGGGTAACGTGAGCCTGTAAGAATATGCATTTCCCTTGATTATTCTTGATCATCCATGCCTCAGTTGTTTAGTTCTCTCCACTGTATCTTTGTTTTCTATTTCATTAATCTCTTTTCCTATATTTATTTTCTTCCCTCTATCTTTAGGATAACTCTATTCCTTTCCTCATTTCCTAAATGGTGTGTTTAACCCAATAATTTTACGTAGAGGCAGTCCTGGCTTTTCATGGTAATAGGACCATAAGAATGACTATGCAAGTTGAAACAGTGTAGTCATCCTAATATTCAGTGGAGAAAATTATGTTCATTTTTTTACTTTTAAAATGTCAAAAATATTTTAAGCTCTTATTATCGTTATAATGTATAGGGAAATGAAAAACTAGTAAAATTGGTATTTAATTATACACTGTAATTGAAATCATTAGAAACGTTAGAAATTAGTGTTTTGGGCTGTAAAGAATTATTAAGTAATTTTAATAACACCACCTTCTTGTGTATAACTAAGAATGTGGGATGAGCATTTGTTCTGTGCTTTAGCAAATAATTATACTCCTTTCTAGGTTTGAATCAATCAAGATATGTAAGAAAAAATAAGCCTAATTTCTCCTATTATACTCTCATAGCCCAGAACACTGCTGTGACCAAATGTTTAGCAGGCAGTGGTCACACCATGCAAACAGTTCTGCATGGGACCGCAGCTGGGCTCCTCACATTCCACCCACCTGTCATTACCTACTTGAGCACAGGGGCAGATCCCACTGGTAGAGGCCAGCCCACAAGGCAGTTCTGTTTCAGAACCAACTGCAGTGATAGGGTGTCGTCCGTACTTCTGAGCCGTCGGCTGTACACTGGGATTCCCACTGACTCCGCCTGGGGCTTAACAAGCTTGCTGGAGCAGCTCACAGAACACAGGGAAACACCTCCTGCTGGTCCTATGTATAGGAGTTTACAAAGGAGTCAGACAGAGACTCTTAGAACGAAGTGAAATGGGAAGGGTGAGGAGTTTCAGCACCTTCCCAGGTGTGCCAGGCTCCAGGAACCTCTGCCTGCTCAGCTCTACAGAAGCTGCCTGAGTCTAGTCCGTTGGGATTCTTTAGGAAGCCTCATTACAGAGCCGTGGTGGACTAAATCATCAGCTGGTGTCCTGACAGCCCGCCCATCTTGAGTCTAACCTGAGCCCCACCCTTGGTCGACTCATTAGCACACCAGAAGGCGCTTACTGCTCAGAGACTGAGTCCAAGCACCACAGGAGCTGCGTGCTAGGAAACAGCAAAGACCACGTATTTACTTGCCGGTGTCACAAGCAGCTTCCAGTGATTTCGGTATCACAGAATATCTTCAGGGGTTCCTTAACATGAAGAGAATTTTTGCTGCATTATTCTCTTTGAAACATCTTCATCCTTTTCATTACAGCCACTGTCTTCAGTGAGGTTGATAAATTTGAGCCCCATTCGATTCCTGTGGCTGCACATCCAGTCTCTGAAACCACAGCAGTATCAGCATCCCTAGTCATCTATGTCTTCCCTACACCATTGACATTTGGCCCAGCATTACTACTTTTTAATTTCTTTTGCTGCACTTTCAAGTTTTCTGGCTAATTCGTCTTTCAATTATTCATTTTTGTAACATGTCACCTGGATTAACACAGGGAGATCAGGAAACAGCTACACACTTAGCTATCTCTGCATATTCTATTTGCTGGCCTTAGACCAATACCACACTGTCTTACTGTGAGGGCATAATAAGTCTTGGTGACTAGTAGTGAAGTTGTCTGGCCTTGCTCTTGTTCAAGATTGTCTTGAGTATTCTATTTTTTCTTCTTATGGAGCTAGGGATAGAACCCAGAGCCTCATGCATGCTAGGCAAGGGCTCTAACACTGAGCTGTATCCCCAGCCCTTGTCTTGGGTGTTGTAGAACCTTTCTATTTACTAATATTTTAGAATCAGCATATCAATTTCCATTTTTAAAAAAATATCTTGAGATTTTGACCAGAAATACATGGAGCATTAACATCTTAATATTCAATATATGAAAATGTTGAATCCTTTCATTTATGTGAGACATTTACTTTCTGGGGTTTGTTTGCTTGGTGGTTTGTTCATTTTTCGAGGCAGCATCTCACTATGTAGTTTAGGCTGGCCTTGAACTCATTATGTAGCCCTTAAACTTTGGGCAGTCCTCCCTCATCAGCTGGGATTAGAGGCATGTGCCACCTTACCTGGCTTTAATTTCTGTGTTTTTCACTGTAGAAGCCTTGAACATTGTTATATACTCATCTTAGACACTCATGGTAGGTTTTTTTCTATCATAAACAACATTTTAAAATTTTTATCATCTACTTGCTAGTTCCATTAAGTTTTTAATTTCAGGGACTCATTACTGTAAATTTTATTTAGTGTAGTTCTTTTTAAATCTGAAAATTTTCAACATATTTTTATAATAGTTTAAGGGACAATTCACATATAACTCACCCATTTAAAATACACAGTTCAAGTTGAGTGTGTAGTACAGTGATCGAATGCATGGCTTATATGCATATGGCCCTGGGCTTGATTCCCCAGCACCAAAATGAATTAGAGAACTCATTGTTTACTGTGTTCACAAAGTCGTGCAAGTATCGCCACAGTCAACTTTAAAATATTGTCGTCACCAGGAGGAAACTATACCTTTTAGCGGTCACTTCCTATGTAATCCCAACTGTGGCCATATGCAACAAGTCCCGTACTTTCCACCCTGTAAATTAATGCTGGGCATTTCATATAAGTGGAACAATACAGTATGCAGCCTTTTGTGCTTGGCTTCTTTTATTTAGTGTGATGATTTCAAGGTTTATTCATATTGTCATATGTCTCAGTACTTCATTTCTTTTTATGGATGAGTAAAATACTCTTATTCAAATTGTGCATCTATCATCTGAAAATCTGAAACTTTAAGTGTCAACATGTCTCTGCAGGAGAAAGCTCCACGCCTGGCTTCACAAGGTGGGTTCCAGTCAAAATGCAGGTACATCAAATAGGCTGTATAAAATGACCTTCAGGCTATGTACATAAGGTATATATGAAACAAATGAATTTCATGATTAGACATGGATCACATCCCCAAGATACCCCACTATGTATATGCAAATATTCCAAAATCTGGAATCCAAAACACTTATATTCCCAAGCATTTCGGTTTAGAGATACAGGGTGTGCCCTGTATAGATTATGACATATTTATTTTATTTATCCATTTACTAGTTAAAGAACATTTGGGTTGTTTCCATCTTTTAGCTATTAAAAATAATGCTATAAGAGCTGGGGATTTAGCTCAGCGGTGCTGTGCCTGCCTTGCAACCACAAGGTCCTGAGTTCGATCCCTGGTATTGGAAAAAATAAAATAAAATAATGCTACAAACACTCATATACAAATTTTGTGTTTACTTTTCCTTCCCTTGGTTGTATATTTAGGAGTGGAATTGCTGGCTCCTATAGTAATTCAAACTTGAACTTTCAGAGGATCTGTCTGACTCTTACAAAACGTGCCATTTTATATTCCCACCAGCAGTGTATGAAGGTTCCAGTTTCTCTACAACCTGGCCAACACTTGTCACTGTCTAAAGCTTTGTTTGGCGGTGCTGGGGATTGAAGCCAGGGCCTTGCAAATGCCAGGCAAGTGCAGTACCACTGAGCTATGCCTCAGCCCTTTTTACAGTTGTTTTGTTTTTTATTGTCACTCTCCTAGTGAATGTGAAGTGGTTTTCATTCTCGTTTCTCTTGTGACTAGTTATAGCGAGCATCTTCTCATGTTTATACTGGCCATTCATGTATCGTCTGTGGAGCAAGATCTAGTCAGATCTTTTGTCCATTTTAAATTCAGTTATCTTTTTATCATTGAGTTTACAAGTTGGTTTTTAATAAAGTTTTGTTGTTTGTCTTTATCATTTATGTAATAGTTCCATTGTTTAAAGTTCTTGAGGGTCTAATCCTGCTGATGCTGTTACTGGGTCTCCTGGGTCTCATTCATGAAGGATTCTTCTCTGAGGGTTCTGTTAAGTCATCTTTTTGTTCTCTTCCATCTATGGATAGTGTAGAAGTTTCGCTACTGGAAATCACCAAAAAATGAAAAGGAGAAAAGCCAAGTGCTGAGAAAGCTTCTATGGGTCCTTGATATGGGGTCCTTCTATGGGTTCTTAAGCTTTGCTTAAGAAGCATTGTAATGTAATTATGTAATGTAAGCATTTACATTGTAATGTAAACATGCAAAGTTTGAAAGTTACTGCAGTTATCTAAAATATAATAATGACAGATGTAAGTTATCTACTATTCTCCCAGACATGCACTTCATCTTCCCAAGACCTCTATTCTTTTTGTCTTTGTTTTTTATTTTTATTTTTGGTTAAGTCAATTTTTATAATTTTTTCTTAAAAATAAAAGGTTGAGCCAAGCATGGTGGTTCACGCTCATAATCCCAACATTCCAGAGGCTGAAGCCAGAGGATCACTGCAAGTTCAAGGCCAGCCTGGGCTACATAGTGAGTCTGAGACCCCACCTCAAAAAAAAAAAAGTTAAAAAAAAAAGTTGTTTTTAAAGTCTATTCTATTATAGAAAATATCCAGAAAATGTGTCATTGGTTTTTTTAATTGTATTTGAAAATACCAACAAATTGATGATGTTAGGAAATAGCAAATTCTGGCCATTTTTAAGCTAATACTCTCATTTATTGAAGATAATAGCATATATTTTTAAGTCTCTTTCAAATTCATTTTGCCAAAGTACCACATTTTACCAATTATACCTAACTGCAGGGGTAACCAAACTACAGCCAGAGGCTGGTCAGCTCTTGTTTCTAAATAGTTTTATTGAAACGTGACCACACCTGTTTTTTCATGTATTATCTGTGGTGGCATCGAGGCTATCTATAATGGCAGAGTTGAATGGTTGGAGCAGAAGTCTGGCCCACAAAGCCTAAAATGTCATGATCTGGCCCTTTATAGACCCTTGGTTACCCACACAGTGGAAGTATGAGTGGTCCTATGAAGGGTTTAATATCCTTTTCTCCAAAGAAAAAACAGTTTCTTAGTAACATCCGTCCAGATCCCTGGGTTTAACAAACATTCCACAGCATGATTCTAGCCATCGCTGTAGTGTAAGAAGCTCAGGTCCTTAACCACTTAGCCTTCTGCAGGGAACAGCCAAAACCTAGAGCTGTGTGGACAGAATGTGGCAGGTCAGCCTGTCATGCTCTGTGTCAATTTGATAAATAAAAAGTTACAGGATCGAATTCGTGCGGCTCTGTGTCGTCAGGGAGTCCCTGCAGACACACACAGATCTTCCCCGTGCGCACGCGTTCAGCTCGGGCAGTGTACGGTCCTGACCCAGAAGCACTCCTTTAAACAAGGAAACAGATTTGAGTAGACTTCCACTTTTGTCCTTAAATCAACCCATGTTATTTTTAAAACTTAGAAAACATTGAAAAGTTGAAAAGGAAAATAGAAATGGTCAGGGGAAAATGTCTTGACAAAATATTTGAAAGAATTTTTGAGTTTATTTTTTCATCTTTAAGCAGAGAAAAGTAAAGTTCTCATTTCTCAAAAACTAAAAGACTTTCTTTGAGGAGTTTATAAATTTGCTTTGAGTTCCTTACAGCTTACTGTAGAGAAATTTAGGCTTTTACTTTGTTCCAGTTTTGTCAGCTATTCCATTATTTTGAACCATTTATTCAATTGTTGGGTCAGTTCCTTAAATTGGGCACAAAATAGATTTTATCTTCTCACCATCAGGGAACCTAGAACATTGGAGGCATTATTGATAGGATGTTTAAAGGTCATGCAACTTTGGAAAAATACTGTTTTGGTGATACTCAAAATCCAGCTTGACAATCGTGGTCTTTAAAAAATGAGAGCAAACAAATTCTGAAAGGTTTTAAAAGATATGTTACTAATTCACAAAAACATCACAAATACGGGCCGGGGCTTTAGCTCTGTGGTTCTGCTGCCTGCCTCGCAAGCACCAGACCCGAGTTCGATCCCCGGTACCAAAAAAAAAAATTACAAATACATCCCTATTATCTAAATAAAAGAAATCATACTAGAGTCAGTGAGAGCAGTGCTGAGCCAAAGCAGTTATTATTGACCAAATTACTTGATCTTTTGGTTACAGATGAGGCTCCCTTTCTTTTGAGACAAGGTCTTGCTATATAGTTCAGGTTGCCCTTGACCCAAATCTGCCTGCCTTGACCTCCTGAGTGCTGGGTTGCAGGTGTGCACCACCACACCTGGCCCAAGGCTCACTTTAAAGAGATGAAAGCCCTTCCTACAAGAGTAGGAAAGAAACAATAGAGGGTTCATTTTATTTACTTCACAGTCCCTGCTGGGCGTTAGGCACTGTTCTAAGTACCTCACATCAACTCCTGCAGACAGACCTATGAAGTATGCTGTTAACATTTCCATTTTACAGATGTGAAAACTGGGCTTCAAAGAGTGGCTCCTGAGATCACCCAGCCATTAGTAGCTATGATTCATTTGATCACAGGCAGCCTGCCAGCCATGTGATCTATTGTGCCAATTTAATTTTCTATATGTCAAAAAAATAGGCTTTTCTGACATGGTTTATTTTATGCCTGTCAGACTAGCCTGTCCTTTATGGCTCAGCAAATTAAAGATTTTGTTAAGTAGCAAGCCATCATGTCGTCTTATATTTTTAGGATATGTGAGAATAAGTCTATATTTTGTGTTTCCCTGAGACATAGTCAAGATTGTATAGTTTTTACTTTGGAGCATTTGTGGCATGACCATTTATCCTAACTTTTTTTATTATGCAATTCAGATTGGGATTTGGAAAAAATTTTGTGTTCCTGGAATCAGGCCCAAGGTCTTGTCTTCAGAGACCTTGAAAGTAACTATCCTCCAGCTGGGGATTTAGCTCAGTGGTTCCATTGCCTGCCCTGTAAGTGACTATTCTTATCTCAGTTTTTATCTTGCTGTTGCTTACACAACATGTTTTTGTCCCTTTTGGGCCAGACCAGATCTTAGCTATAAATTATAAAGAAAATAGGCTTATAATTTATAAATGTGTAACTTATAAAGTCTATATTTTCCGTAAACCACACAAGTCCATATATATCCTATAGGCATATTGGTATAAGTATATATAAATTCCTGAGACTTTACAATTTGTATTATAAATTGTATTTCTTTCATTCTTTCTTTCTTTCTTTGTTTTTGTTTTTTTGAATCAGGGTCTCCCTTTATAATGCAGACTGGCCTCAAACTAGCTGCAATCCTCCTGCCTCAGCCTCCCAAGTGCTGGGATTACAGGTGTGCACCACCATGCCTGGCTTGTATTATAAATTGTATTTCTTGGTTTTTTTCTTTCTTGGTACCGGGGATCGAACTTGGGACCTTGCACTTGCCAGGCAGGCGGCAGAACCACTGAGCCAAATCCCTGGCCCTAAATTGTATTTCTTTATCAAAGTTGTTATAAGAAAAGTACTCTTCTCAGTTCTGAAGTGTCTGCATGTATACATTCAATAACTAGTAATGACTACATATATCAAAGCTAGCTCGTCAGGTCAAGAGTAGTCAATTTAACATTTAATGCTTCCATTGTGTGCTTGGCACATCCTAAATAGAAATCTACAACGACATTGCCTACTTTTCATTATACTTTATTATACCTGCCCATTCCCTGAATCTTTGAATTTTGAAGTATGCAAAC